AATTATTTGTAAGGTCATGCACATCATTTTCAACAGAATTAACAGAATACACATATATATAGTTTGAGGGAAAAACAACGATTAGAACAGCAAAGCCAAAAGAAAACATAATGAGCCTATGTCAAAGCAGTCGATATGTTCTCGGCGTATGTGTAATGAGCTTTCTTCTGAATGGAACTTCATCGACGGAAGTCACTGTTCAAAAGCAGTACAAAACGGCAACCAAAACTATTGAACCGGGAGGTATGTGTAAATGATTTTTTCGTATCAAACCGTTGATGTGCTATGAATTCCATGCACCAAATTGAAATTGAATAAAAATCGAACGTAAAAGTGAATTAAAAGGTGCCATTTTGTTTATATTTTTTTCGGTATTTCCATGGTTATAAATGTGAAAAGACAACATAAATAGACAAAAAACGATTTACAACAAATTACAAATACGAGTATTGCAATAAAATAATCACCTCCATTTACGTCGAGATAGCGATGTGATCTTCTATACAAGTACGTGAATACTGCGTATTTTGATATATTGCGACGATTTTTTTCCATCAAATTAATATGATTTCCCACCTTCAATTGTGTGTATACACATAAGACACTTTGTCATTGTTGATGTTAAGTGTTTGTGAGGCCAAATGAAGATAGTGAGATTAATAGAGAGAGTTTTCATTCCAAGAATATAAAAGCAGCAGCAGGCCATAAATTGAGTCAATGAGCGCATTTTTATTTGGAACATGACTAATAATACTATGAAAATCATTGATGCCCATAACACTGACAGAAACGAGACCAGTCGGTTTCACATAATTCGGGAGCGCTGATTTCAATGGCATCATTCGTTTTTCTCCATCACGTCAGGATTTTCCACAATTTTCCTCAGAAGTTTCCCGGAAAACCCAAATTTACTGTTTATACTCTAGTAAGTATAGTTAAGCCAATTCGTTTAAAAAAAAATTTGAATCATTTGAAAAAAAAAATGATTTGTTTATTTCCCTCTGAAGTCACATTTTGAAGTAAAATTGGTATCCATTCAAACGCTCTGAAGGTTTTTTGGCATGAAAAGATTGAATATGACGCTGTTTTTGCTATAAAATTAGATTTGAATACACTTACCACACAAAAAGTATCCAAAATGGTCAAAAATGACCAAAAATGTCAAATTGTGGTAAATTTTATAGCAGAAAAAGCGTCAGATTTGGTCTTTTAATGCCAAAAACCCCCCAAATACTCATTTTCAGGGCGTTTGAATGGAAACCAATTTTACATCAAAATGTGACTTCAGAGGGGAATAACCAAATCATTTTTTTTTTTCAAATGACTAAATTTTTCTTTTAAAACGAATTGTGTGGATTAACTATACTTGAACCGTACTACAACGCCTGATAGGTCCCAAACTCTCTAGGAAAATTGTGAAAAATCTTGACGTGATGGGGGAAAACGAATGACGCGATTGAAATCAGCACCCCCGAATTATGTAAAACGGATTGGTCTCGTTTCTGTCAGAAATTTGAAGTTGAAAAATAACGCACATTATAATGTGACATTATAATAATAATAACTGCACCGAACACCGTTCCTTCGCCTTGGTGGTTTATTGAAAATAATTTAATTAAATAAATATAATACATATATTCAATTTGATTTTTATCAAGCATTTTTGAGAGAGAATATGAAAAATTATTGTTTCTTTCCTTTCATGTTAATAATATATATTAATTTCATAAATCAATTCTCCAACTGCCCAAAATTTCTACAATCCATAACAAATATTTTGTATTTTATATATATATTAGTATATTTTGCTTTAAATAATTTTCTATTCTCAGTTTGACTGTTGATAAATTTACTTCTAAATCAAAACTTTTCAGTTCAGGTGGAGTTTGCTTTATAAAGTTCATCTTTGGATATTGTTCGAAATGACGATATTTAAAATAAAATGGGATTCTGATTTTTCAAATTAAACAAATATTCAATTTATAGATCGTGCTCTTTTTAATCCTCATGTTGTTTATAATCAAGATTGGATGCCAGTTGGACACGCTGATCCGTTGAAAAATTATCCAACTTATGATTATGTGCCACCTACATCTGGAAGTGTTCGCTATTGGTCTGATAAAAACGAAAACCAATTTGCCAGTAACACCAGCGATAAAAATGAAATTTTATTACTTGGTGCTGCTATCAAACATTCAGTTCAACTTCAATCAAATCTTTTGCCGGTGTTCGAAGTGAAATCAAACAAACGACCTAATCAACCATTGGTGACCAATGATCAACGTTCATCTCCCTATTATCCTCCTTCAAAGGTACAATTGTGTTCACAAATCTTTATTTTTTCAAATTATACAAACTTAATTTTTTTTAGCCATCACGTGTTTTGACCCCACCATCGATTCAAGACTACAATCATTACTATACTTTCGCATCACATTTTATGAACAACGATTTATCTATGTCGCTCTCAGGTGATACACGCTCAACGGTAATCTAATGATTTCATAATACTCAAATAATACAGCAAACTGAATGGTAATACGATACAATTAACCGGGTAAAAACATTTCCCAGAGAGAAACTTTGAAGATAATGTGTTCATGCAAACCAAACAATGCTTGATAAATTTATTTGGTATTTCATCGGGACCACTGACTAGATCATCCGGAAGCATGTCAATTTGTTGTCCAACAAGCTCCTCAGTTATTTCAATCGGTGATATTTCAGCACAAATATCGCGAATATTTTCAATCTCCGAGTTGTCATATCGTGGATCTCCCTTAAAAGAGCTGTAGGCTGATGCAAAGTGCTTTGCAAAGAAACCAGCGATTGTAGACTGGTCATCTGCCCTCATATCCATATATGACATCTCATGCGGTAGATCATCACTTTTCCCCCTTTTATGTTATTCACATGTCTGAAAAACTTCTTTGGATCATCGTCTATCAGATTCTCCATCTCAATTCTGTAATCCTTGAGTGCTGACCGTGCACTGCGTTTATATTCTCTTCTTAATTGTTTAAAATTTTCTACTGAATCAATTGTGTTGACCTTTTTTTTAATCTGATGAGCTTTGCTGACTTTGTTTTTCAACTCGATTAGTGGCTTGTTAAACCATATCGGTTGCTTCCTGATGACTTTTGTTTTTAACTGTACATGAGTTTCGATTGTTGACTTTACAATTGTATAGAAATTGTTTAG